GAGCGGTTCTCAGCTGGGGCGCTTCGCAGGAACGCTGCAGGGTCGCCCATTTCGCAGATGGGGAAATCAAGGCACACACCATTACATTTTCTACATTTACGTAATAATCCCAAAAAATACTTGAGCGTGATATGGCTTCACCCACTGCCAAAAAATTAATTCGAATCCAACTGAATGTAGGAATATTTTAAGATATATTTGAGAAATTCCAGTTTTCACTGGCATTTGGTTAAATCTGCAAAATCTGAGTTCTCTTTTCAGGATAAAATAAAAAAGTTCATGGCTTTATCCTAGTGACCACTGATCTGGATCACAATTTACCTTTGACGTACCAGTCGCTGTTTAGCAAAACTATTTCTGTACGCTCTCGTGGAATAACAGTTTCCGTAAGAAGTGAAGTATTGAGCTGTTTTATAGACTTCCCACAGCTTCTGTCACTAAACAGAGAGCCAACAGATAATACATAGGGTATTTCACTTCTCTCTTCTAATGCTCCCCGGCCATGTAGCAACACTACGCTGTTGCTCCAGGACCATCACAGGAGGCGGTGAGCTTAATAAAGAGCATGTACAACGTTTGGCTCAACAGTGCTGCAATGACAGTGACAGTGCTCTGCCAGGGTTCACTGGCCGCACAACAAGCCTCTAACATGGCTACGTACCTAGGAGAAAACTTCCCTGCCTCTACCTTGTACTCTTAACAGATCCCAGCAAGGCTACCTTAAAGACTAAAACAAAAATGACCAGAAAAATTACAGAGTTACAGCACTAATATACACAATTTTTATGGCTGAAGTACCACCTACTTAAATAAATGTCAAAAAAAAAAAAAAATCAACCCACCAAACTGTGGGTTTTACTTTGTTTGCAAAGCAAATCCAAAGTAAAACATATTTGCCCAAGAAGGGACACACTGCTCTTTGTAATTAAAATGGTGGAATTTTGCACAGCTTGAAAACTCTATCTGTTTTAAGGACTTTTTGACTAGGCTAAAATTCACTGTTTCAAAAAGTTAAACATGGCAATAATATTAATATTTTTCATGTTGGCTGGGGTGGGGGCAAAGGAAGAGGTTGCTTTCAAATAAAAAAAAAAAGACAAACTGAGCACTGAAGGTGAATGAGCGTAGGATTTGCTTTCATGATTGGGAACTCCAGATACTCCCTCCACAGCCCACAGAAGAGCTTCTGTGTACCGGTCTAGTGCAAAGCAAAAATATGCAGTGATATTTTAATAATTCCCATTGATTAACTGGCAAATTATCGCACACCTACAGCCCACCGGCAAGAACCAAGTCCCAGGGTAGGAACCTGCTAATTACAGGCTCCGGCAGCACTTCAGTTGCCTGTTATCATCTAGACCAGCGTGATGCACAGAACAGTAAAACAGAACGCAGAATCAAAGGAAAATAAAGTTACAGGGATCCTGACAGTGTCATCTCGATTCCCACTTGGATCTGCTGCCTTCAAAGTTTCCTGTGCTCTCCGGGAGTGCCAGTTCGGGGGTGTACAGCCAGCCCTGCTGCCTGGGCTGCTCCAAACCCCGGCACCACTGGCACCAAGCCGCTACCCAAAGCGGCTCTGGGGTCAAAGGCAAACATCTGGCCCAAGATTTAGGACAATCAATAAATTCCTTAATCTGGAAAATTAGTTTAATGCGAGCAGAGGAAAAAAGAGGTGGAGGAAAACAAGAAGTGACTGGTTAGTTTTTCCAGATCTGAAAATGAGTCTACGTGCCTGCATATACACTGCTACAAATAGATGAGAAAACGGTGTGTGCAGAGTTGCGTTTACTCAGGTATGTACATGTGTGAATCTGCCACGCCTCAAAGCGGAGAGTCGTACCCCACTGCTCAGAGCCCAGAAAGGGAAGGCTGCGGCACCACCTGGGTTACCCAGTCCCCAGATCTCTGCACCACGTAGGCTCACCCGGCCCCGGTGTGGGTGCTGCACCCGGGCATGAAAGGAGGCGGCACAGCAGAGCAGAGAGGGACCAGGACATGGGCCCGCCATCCCCACCAAGGAAGGAGAGGTGGGTAAGAGAAGGGTGCTGTCAGACCCCACCAGCGGAGACAGAGCCATGTTTCATGTCCATCTGGCCAGGCACTAACCACACAGGCCCCGGACACCCCAGAGAGCCTCAAGACATGGTGTGCTGAGCTGGCTGATGTCTGGGTGCCGGATTGCCCTCTCCTGGGCAGAAACAGAAGGACCCACGTAAGTCAAGGACTCCCCTTGGACAGCTCTGGAGGACAATTTCCCTTCATTTCAGGGGGAAGTGTGGATTTGGTGGAGCAGAAGGGTGCAGGTCCTCTTCCTCTGCATCCACCAGCGTGAAATCCGCAGCGCCTACGAGTAGCTGAGATGCACCACAATAGGACCAAAAACCAACAGCAGAAACTTCCTCCAGGACACAAGCAGGGAGCAAGAAGGGATGAACCGGAGCGGTTTGTTCATCTCTCTGTGCTGTTTATGCTGTCACATGTGGCTGGGTGCTGCCTTCTGCTTGTGACTGTTACTGGACCCCCTGACGCAGAGGGTCCCACGCAGCCTGCACCGCGAGGGCACCCACGCTGCCCACTGCCACGCCACGCCACGCCACCACGCAGCATCGACAGCCCCGTCACGCAGCGCTGCCAGAAGTGCCACGCGCAACCGAGGCACCGTCCTCGCTTTGCCAAGCTGACAATCGAAGCAGCGCTGAAAGCTGCACTGTTTTTAATAACCACTTAGTAATAATAATAATGCAGAAAAGAGATACAGCTGTAAATAGGTGTAATTGCTGTATTTATCCCTGGTATGCGTTGACTGTTCAGTCTCTGTCGGTAATCAGGTTTATAAGGATACATTTAAGGTGTTTTGTAGCTGTTGAAAAGGCATGAAGGGTGAGACTGATCTTAGTTAAAGGTACACAACAAATGAAGAGCTAAAAACTAGAAGTATTTGAAATGAGATTTCTTGAGAATACTCAAGTAAATGTTAATTTCTTGAAAAAAATAACAAAACTACCTTTTCAGACTGTCCTTTGTTTATACAAAAGCCGGATAGAATTGAAGACTTTTGATGGAGTGACCTTAGGTAAAAGAACAAAACTGTTTTCCTATGGATGCTCATGAGTGACTAAAGGAAATCTGCTCATCAAAAGTTGGGATGCACAATGAAGAACCACCAGCAATACCCCATCATCTGTAATATACATGCAATTGCGGAGCTCAAACACAGGATTTTGACAGGTTTCAGAACTGAATACTGCCATTAATTTCTACAGCTATAGAATAGAGTGCACCAGATGCTTGCAATTTATAAGAAATCTAGAAGCTGTAATTTGTTTGCATTAAATATTAATACATTGAAATAAAAAACATATCTCAGAAAACACTGTCCTTTCACAGACAATTTGTGGACAGGAAACTCAATAAATCTGTTTAATCCATTGTTAAAAATATTTGCTGGGCTCAGTATACACTTCCAGGCTTTTTCCATGTAGATGACTTATTTTTTTGATTGTGATAATTGTCCTTTACTGTCCTTAATACATGACATGATTATTTTTATCACAAAGGTTTTTAAAAAATCCATAAGTGGGGCCCAACGAAACTACTGTGTTTCAGAGTTTACAGTGCAGCAAGAAGGCTTCACATCTTTTAAATGCTCCAGGCTTTTTGCAAACTCAAACCTACCTTGCATAAATTACATACAATGATAATTTGATACATATGACAATTCTAAGAATTCTTTTCACCTGTTTAATGCTAGTAAACTAGAG